AATCAGAGCTAGATAAGATTTTAACAACTCTGAGCTATTAGTTAAGTTCTCCCCAAACGAGCTTGATGGGCCGAATGGCCTCCTCACGTTTGTAAATTTCTTATGTTCTTATGTTCTTAAAATTCATTTCTGCCCAGTTTGTTTAATACCCCCCATCCTCAGAGAGGGATAACTCTGTAAGCACAGCTGCTTAGTCACCAAAAGCTGGTTTCAGATGCATTCCAATCTGCTCATGTCACCCACTCTGGATTCGGGACACCCATGTCAAACAATTACTGCTTCAGCAGCATATCTGTGCTGGTAAATAAAAATTCTATGTGCATTGATAAAAACATTAAAAGATCTGTAATCGCCTTCCCTCAACAGATGTACAGTCAGCTACCGCTGCAGAGGCTTTCAGGATACAACTGGCGCGTGAAGGATGACGTGAGCAGCTTCCTGTTTTACCAAAGATCCCATAATGACATATACAGCGTCTTCAAGGTGAGTCCATCTCGGCTCCTCTGCCAGCTCCATTTGTAGTCAGAAGTCCGGCACAGAACCAAGGGCATTTAACTCAGTAAGCCTTATTGCTCTTTAAGAGATACGAGGTAATGAATGTGTGTCTTGGGTTACGCATTACTCTGGACTGGATGCCGGTCCAGTGTAGGACATGTGGATGCACACTTAATGAGAACAGTGTGTGTTTTTGGGCCAAGGGATAAAGCCGGAGGAGGCACCTGCAGAAACCCCCCAGGACCCCTAGCAGAGGCTGGGCGCACCCAGGGGTGTGGGCTGCCCCCACCGAGCCGCCGTGCAGCCAAACCCCATTACCTTCATCTTGGTATTTTATTTTAGGAAATTGGAGTAAAAGTCATAACAAGTTACATCGTGAGGACACCTGAGGTGTTGGGCAGAAGTCGAAGACCTGGTAATATTTCTAAAGATTTAATTAAGTCTATTTCAGGAAGAATGTTTTCTTGTTGTAATAGTGGTTCATCTCTTCCACAGTTTATGAATTGAAAGCTTTTGTATTTTATTGCCCCATTACCCCCTGTCAGGCATTATTATAGACCCATCATCAGACACATTCAAGAAGAGGGGCATGACCAGCATGCTTGCCGTACAGTACGATGAGGGGGTCGCAGAAGAACCGCCAGTGCAGACCATCCGCACCTACTTCCCAGAGACTTGGATCTGGGACCTGGTGCCAGTTGGGTACGCCCCATCGGGGATGGGTTGGGAATATCTCATCATTCTACCACCTACCAGGCTGTTTATCTGAAGTGTTTATGTAGCTGTACATTTCATGCTATAAGTCGACCTACAATGACATTTGTATTATAAATGTTCAGAAAACAAGCATACGTAAACCCCAATTGATAAAATAACGCAAGTGCACCTGCATATAGGCAGAACCATAAACAGAGCCTTTCAATGGCTTTGCACACTGCAGGCAAAGCCACAGAATGGACGATTTAGGGTACATTACTTCAGGAGATGCATTTATCCAAAGCGGCATTCAGCTTCAAGAGCCGTGTCAGCAAGTTTCTAGAGCAGTTTGGTTTAGGGGCCTAAATGTGAAATCACAGTACCAAACTGGCAACCATCCACTCACCGCTCAGCCCTAACCAGCTTAGTACATGCAGCCCCCTTGTGTGAGCTCCAAAGGAGGAGGATGGGGAACAAGAACATTTCTGCAGCAGGGCCTTGCTTGGAATTTACATTTGGATCCGTTTTGTTTGGCTGGATCCTCTGTTCCGTGTCAGACTGCAGTGCGTGAGTGTGAGAGCTGTCTCCCCCTCCCTACACAGAGACTCAGGTTCCGTGAATGTGACGCACACCATTCCAGACACCATCACCAAATGGGTGGCGGGGGCTTTCTGCACCTCCCCAGTGGGCTTTGGCCTGGCCCCCAGCGCCCAGCTCACTGCCTACCAGCCCTTCTTCGTGAGCCTGACGTTGCCTTACTCTGTCGTCCGGGGTGAGGTGTTCACCCTCAAAGCCTCCGTGTTCAGCTACCTCCCTAGATGTATCATGGTGAGTGCACCCAGCACGGCCTCTTCTGGGCGAAGGGCAGCATATGAGTGTATAAACGGGTAATAAAAAAGACCCTGTGTTATATGATGTTCAGAGCTTCCCTCTCTTTTCCCACTCTGATTTTGGAATGTTAGTAATTCTCACACCAACTCACTTGCATTCACACCTGAGATGCACACAGGGGTGTAATTCCTGCTGCTGTCACTGGTGCCGATAGTAAACTGTGTGTCTTGATGTTTAGGTTCAGGTGAGCCTGGCGGAGTCGGCTGAATTCACGGCCCAAGCCTGCGAAGGCTGCAAGTACAAGCACTGTGTATGTGAAGAAGAGAGCAGGACCTTTAGGTGGATCCTGAAGCCTGCTGCTCTAGGTCTCTATCCGTCTCTGTCTCCATCATGTGGGGGACACACTGCTGTCTGCGTACTCTGCTGCAATTTGCACCACAGTCTGATCAAATCATTTGCTCATAGGAAGTCCCAGTTTAAAGGAAGCTTTCATTGATAACCAGTGGCGGTTCTAGACAAATTTTACTAGGGGGGCCAAGAAGGGGCCAGTGTTTAACCAGAGAGGCACATTAAAAAATGACAACAAATGATATTTAAAGATTATAAACTTTATTTTACTTTAAAATCATACAAACATTTATTTTGTACAAGAGTAAGTGCAGGTGCAAAAGAGGTAGGGCCATAAAAAATGATAAGGGTACAAATATTCAAGTAACAAATATAAAAGTGTTACCAAGTTTTTAAACATCTCGAGACCAGCCATTTCCAAACTTGATTTCATTATCAGTGTGAAAAACAAAAGTAACACGGTTATGTGCAAGAACAACAAGTCACTCACGAGATGAAATTGTTTTGCTTACCTTCGACTCTTGCTACAGAAGAAATTAATCGTAGCTCCACTATCCAAGAGTGGTTCTAGCTGTTGCTGCGCTCCCATTCACCGAGCAGCACCACAGTGTTTGGGTGCGCCGCTCTAATTTACCCGTGTAGAACGATGCGTCGCATTAGTTCCGCTTTTGGCGCTCGTGTGTAAAATCATAATAAATTCATACTTTTTTATTTGGTCAGCACAGGGGGGCCACAGGGGTGGCCAGGGACATGTCTACAGAGGCACGGGCCTCCCTAGGCCTCCGTGTAGAACCGCCACTGTTGATAACCCACCTGTCAGCATAGCTGGGCCCCTGACTGACTTTAGGAAAGTGAAATCCAAACGGTTATTTGGAGAACAGGATGACAAGTGAATGTGCCTTCCGCCGACTCTCTCCACCAGGTGAGGTGACCTTTGCAGTGAGTGCAGAGGCCCTGAGGACACAGGAGATTTGTGGGAACGAGGTGGTGACCGTGCCCGAGAGGGGGCGTACAGACACGGTCGTCAGGAAGCTGCTGGTGGAGGTCGGCATGCTGCTTCCATGATGTCAGGCCTGGACTCTGACCTCTGCTCTTTACGATTTTCTTTGCCGACGTTGCTACCATCATGTACAGAATATAGAATTTTAAGGCCTTGAATAGCCCTCATTAGGTGGCACGGTGGCACAGTGGTTAGCACTGAGGCCTCACTCCTCAGGCTCCAGGGTTTTAAGCTCTGCCATGGTTCCATGTGTGTAGAATTTGCATGTTCTTCCTGTGTCATTGTGGGCTTTCCTCTGGGTACTCCGCTTTCCCCCCACAATCCAGAAACATGCTGAGGTTAATTGGAGTTACCAAAGCCACAGACATGCATGGGTGAGTGAATGGTGTATGATTGTGCCCGCCAATGGGTTGGCACCCCATCCTGGGTTGTTTCCTGTCTTGTGCCCATAGGTGTGCATGTGTGAGTGTGCCCTGCGATGGGTTGGCGCCCCATCCTGGGTTGTTTCCTGTCTTGTGCCCATAGGTCTGCATATGTGAGTGTGCCCTGCGATGAGTTGGTGCCCCATCCTGGGTTGTTCCCTGCCTTGTGCCCTGCGATGGGTTGGCACCCCATCCTGGGTTGTTCCCTGCCTTGTGCCCTGCGATGGGTTGGCACCCCATCCTGGGTTGTTCCCTGCCTTGTGCCCTGCGATGGGTTGGCACCCCATCCTGGGTTGTTCCCTGCCTTGTGCCCTGCGATGGGTTGGCACCCCATCCTGGGTTGTTCCCTGCCTTGTGCCCTGCGATGGGTTGGCACCCCATCCTGGGTTGTTCCCTGCCTTGTGCCCTGCGATGGGTTGGCACCCCATCCTGGGTTGTTCCCTGCCTTGTGCCCTGCGATGGGTTGGCACCCCATCCTTGGTTGTTCCCTGCCTTGTTCCCTGCGACCCTGAATACGATAAGTGGTTACAGAAAATGGATGGAATAACCCTCATTAACAAATTAGAACATGTCTTGTCCTCGTGTTACTTCTAACCTTGATAAGTAACTTATTTATAATATAGACAAATCTTTTTTAGTTTATTGTCATCTGATGGGGAATTTAGCATGGCAGCTTTCCTCTTTCTTCAGGCAGAGGGAACCAAAGAGACCGTTACCCATAATGCATTGCTGTGCCCTGCAGGTGAGGGCCCCTTTTTCTCATGACCGCAGAGCAGATTGACCTTCAGGCCATTATCATGTCGCTTGACTATCTTTTGGTTAAACAGGTGGATCTTTTATGGTGGATCTCTGTTCTCGCTCTTCCAGATGGTCCAGTAGAGAAAGACGTGTCTGTGAAACTTCCAGAAGTACATGTCGAGGGCTCTGTCAAGGCCTTCCTTTCTGTGTTGGGTGAGATTTTTATGTTAATCATTTTTACTTAACAAAATTAACTTCTAGTTTCTTAACCACGCTTTTCTGAGTGTCAGATGTCATCTTCTGTTATCTACCAACATGGCAACCCTTCACAGCTGGATCATTATGTCAGATACTGGTTCCTGATTGGCTCTTGATGAGATGACCAGGTTGTGAGCAGCTCTATGCTTTGGCCAGGTGACTTGATGGGCCGGGCCATGCAGAACCTCGACCGTCTGCTAGCCATGCCTTTTGGCTGTGGGGAGCAAAACATGGTGCTCTTTGCTCCCAACATCTACATCCTAAGATATCTGGAGACTACCAAGCAGCTGACCAAAAGGATCCAGGAAAAGGCTGTCCGCTTCCTGGAGACTGGTGAGTGTGGAGACCATAAAAATCCAGGCTGAAAGTTACCATTGTGGTCAAGCTCTTGTTTTCAGGGCAAATCCTAGAACTAAGGTCTCTATTTTTGGACTCAGCTGGAAAAATACCAAGCAGTTTGAAGTATTTTTTTAACTGATTGAACCTGCAGTTTGTGGCACAGCGTGGCATTGTACTGTGCAAAAGTCTCAGGCAGTCAAAGGGAAATTAGGTATAATTGATCTTCATTTTGGTGTAAAACGATAAAATGATGTCTGGGAAAGCATGTCAGCTTAGCCACTTCAAAACCACCATTTCAAATCACAACAGTATTTGCAGTGACCATCCAATATTCCAGTGTGTCTGTTGACTCAACCACTGGCAGCACAACTAGTTAATCAATATCTCATTGAGCACTATTGCACAGTACTGTAAGTAGTGCCCGGAACCTCGCTAGATGGTCCCGGTTTACCTTTTCTGTTCTGCAGGCTACCAGAGGGAGCTAAATTACAAGCACAATGATGGATCTTACAGTGCATTTGGAAAGAGTGACCAGTCTGGCAACACCTGGTGAGTCTCGCTACCCAAAGCTTCGAACAGAACCATGCCAGTACTACAGAAATACAATAGCATTAAGTTCCAGTAATTCTTGCCAAGAGCCAATTCTTGCAGAATTGATATTATCAGGAATATGTTCTGCCCAGTATAAGAAATTTGGTTTAAATGGTCACTTTATTTTTCAATTTGACTGCTTTCTGCTTGACCAGCCATGACGATGAGCAACATTCAACCAACTATCAATTATTCTTTAAAGTGAATAAAATTCCTCTTGGCCCAGTGGATTATGGTTAATCTGTACAGTGTCTGATTCTTTATATACAAGTCTAGAAAAAATTAAAAGACCACTACATTTTTTTATTTAGCATTTTTCAATCCTGGTTTAATCCTGGTTCTGCTGGCAGAGGGCTACACAGCAAGTTGCTTCCAGGCTCAAAATTTCTAAGACAGTAAAATAAGGTGAAACAGAAGACACTGGAAACGACCAAAAACCAGCCAAGTAAAGTACAGAAGTGACTTTTCAATGCCAGAATCACTGTTAACTTCCAACAGTTTCTCATGAATCAGAGAATGACATCAAGTGACCTTCAAAGGACCGGGGAAGATTAGGTGCAGGTGTGAAGTGCACTGCTAGGACAGTTCATATCAGGCTCCTAAAAGCAGGACTGAAGTCCCATAAAACAAGGAAGAAGCCCTTCATTAATGAGAAACAGGGCACAAAAATAAGTATTGTCTCAAAAATATATATATTATTCATGGACGCACACTCATATATTGAGAGATAAGTGAAACAATATATTGTGCTGTGGTCTCTTAACTTTTTCCAGAGGTCATGTGGTACTTACTGTTCTATATGTTATTGATTCTACGCAACACACTTTGTCAGCCTTTGGTTGTTTAAAAATATGCTATAGAAATAAACTAGGTAGTTAATGACTTGACATCCACATCCATAAGGAAATGGATCTTCTATGATTCTGAGTAAACAAAGTGTATCACCCAGGCTCACCGCGTTTGTACTGAAGTCCTTCGGAGGGGCAGGTCCGTACATCTTTGTGGACCCGAGACACATCGACGATGCTAAGCTGTGGCTACACAGGCAACAGAACAACAATGGCTGCTTTAGGTCGGTGGGGAAGCTCTTGAACAACAGAATGAAGGTAAAATGCCATCTAGCCATCCTATTTCACACATTATGAAGGTAAAACACCGTCTAGCCATCCAATTTCATATATTATGAAGGTAAAACACCATTTTGCCATCCTATTTCATACATTATAAAGGTAAAACACCATCTCGCCATCCTATTTCACACATTATGAAGGTAAAACACCATCTAGCCATCCTATTTCACACACTATGAAGGTAAAACACCATCTAGCCATCCTATTTCACACATTATGAAGGTAAAACACCGTCTAGCCATCCAATTTCATATATTATGAAGGTAAAACACCATCTAGCCATCCTATTTCACACATTATGAAGGTAAAACACCATCTATCC